CCGTTTGCAACAACTGTTGTCCAAGAAGCAACGTTGGAGCCTCTAGGTGGCGATGTCGCGGTGTCACGCGTTCTTGCGCAGCCTCGGTGGAAAGTGCGTTTGCGCGAGTCCGTACCATTGCGGGAAGGGAAGCACAAAGGCGTAAACGCAGCGTGTCGCTGGGGAGCGGGATGAGTGATCGGCGTTGTGCGCGCAGCTTGGTGTTACAAGTTGTTGCGCAGGCAACTGACAAGTCCTACCGAAAACCATCAAGAGATTAGAGAAATCCATGCGGGGCTAAGGCATGACACTGTCGTTTCCCGGCATCTATAGTCAGGGTCTGCAGCGGACCGACTGTGGAGCGAAGTTAGATTGCGTCCCTGGGTGGAAAGTGCGTTTGCGCGAGTCCGTGCCATTGGGGGAAGAAGGAAAACACGCTGGCGTAAACGCAGCATGTTGCTGGGGGGCATGTTGCTGGGGAGCTTCACACACCACAACCCAAAGGGCTTCGAGAACCACTGGTTTTTCCGCGTTTGGAGCTCCAACAGCTTTGGCGCGCAAAATTACATACGGGCCTCGTGTCTATAGTTATTACACTTGTCCCACGCACATGCTGCTTTTTGGAAGCTTTCAGGCTCCATCCATCCCTGTGCCTTGTCGGCGCTGGCGTCCAGCAACAGCCGCGCCACTTCCACTTGGCCATTATACGCTGCCCACATCAAAGCGGTCCCACCTCGGCCGGGCTGCAGCTGTTGAGCAGTAGCTGCAACTTGCGAAAAAAACCGAAACCTGAGAAAGGGGTCGTGGCGCAGGCAGCTGGTTTAATTAGTTCCCGTGTCGCTTCCAAGAACCCGCTATAGGAGGTCAATGGCAAACGCTTCTGGAAAGATTTTGTTGCCCCAAGAGCCAAAACCACCGGCTCAATTGCTCGTTTGTTGAGCCAGTCGACGTGCCCCGTCCAAGAACCCATGGCTCTCAGGCCAAGGGAAGCGCTTGGGTTTTGTTTGCGTACCCACACAACCACTGGTGGCTCTCTGTCAGATGAAAGCGACAGAAAGCAGAATGAAAAGAAAACAAATGAAAGCCGCATGATCGCCACTGGGCCAGTCGACGGGGTTCTCTGCCAAGAACCCGTGGCTCGAGCTGTCAGTGTGTGACGGCATCAGCATGAAGGCATGAAAGCAGAATAAAAGCAAATCCTCCCTTTCTCAACATTGGCCTTGTTGACGATCTTGGGCGTGACCCCATACAACTTCGTGATGCAAACGATGCAGCAACCTTTTTGCCTTCCGTCATCTGCGTCACCAAATACGCCAAATTGGCTGCTCCAAAAGACTAGGACCCCCACCAGGCCTTAATGAAAAAGCTACTTTTGGCCGCTCTCCCCCACACCCCCATTATCCACAGCTTTCGCAGGAACAACTTCAGCCTAACCTATCGGTTGGCTTTCGTAACTTAAAACGAAACATCTTCCAACATTTCACGCAAGACACAATCCCATCGTTGATCTGAGCACCGTATCTAAGCGCCGGGCCAACTTCATCTCTCAAATCCTGTGGCAAAGTTGGCGCCTTGAGGTTGATGAAGTTCCCTCTACTGTGCGGTCACAGTCTTTCAGTCCGGGTTTCTGGGATTTTTGCGCGCGTTGTTTTTGGGTTCTACGCGTTTGCAAGTTTGACCACCTCAGACTGGAACTTTTGTATGTGTGTTCGGGTTCTGTGGGCTCACGGGCAACCTATAGCACGATGCTCACTAGCAGCCCAAAGATGTAGATGTTTTCAGAAACCAAACCAAAACTGTCCAACGAAAGTACTGCTTGATGCAGAACGAACTCCAACTGGCTACCAGCGTGATGAAAGAAGGCAACATCCAAACCAGAGCGTCAAAGGTTAAGTTCGGACTTCCGTGGCGCCTGTCTTCAAAGTTTTGGCGCCTTACTCATTTAACGGTCTCCAGGCTATTGATACGTCAACCTATGCACCGGTCACACAGCTTCG